TAAACAGGACTACGATCTCATAAATAAAATCAAGATTTCAAACAGCACAATAATGCTTAAAAAGTGACCTCTTTCTTCCGTCATTCAGACTATGCGATTGTTCGAACAGCTAGAATTGGATTGTTATACCAATACAGCGACCAGTTTACTGCCCGGGGGTGATAAACGTAAATTGTCCGTCGCTATGGCCTTGATTGGCTCGCCTCGTTTGATCATGCTGGATGAGCCCACCTCGGGTGTGGATCCGTTTTCCCGACATTGTATTTGGCGTGTGCTACGAGATTATCGACCGAACCGAGTGATCGTGCTCATCACACACTACATGGATGAAGCCGATGTGCTGGCAGGTAAGTCAGATTTGTGGTGCCCTGATGACACTAGACCGCATGCTATCCACTTCCCCATATGCACTTAGTCCGGTGCGAAACAGGTATGGTCGTTAAGGCTGTATTATTAATCGGAACGGGTCACATCCCGCGCCTGGATGAACGAAAACCAACCTAAACAAGTAATTTTAACCTCGATTTGGTACCGGGTGTTTGGTAGTACTGTCATCAAATTTAGCGCATTGACTTGTCTTAAAACTGAACGATGTCATACAGCCTTCGGTGCTGCCCGCGATGTTCAAAAGATATTATTATTATTATTATTATATTGTTATTATTATTTTCTATCCGTCTTTTAGATTAATAACAAATATGTAATGTTTTTAGTGCGATCATTTTGAATTTGTGATTCGCAGACCGAAAAGCAATTATGATTGGTGGGCGATTAGTCTGTTATGGTACCTCGAGGTTTCTGAAAGAAAACTACAATCCAGGCTATATGCTCTAGTAAGTTCTCAAAATTTTAAACATTCCATCTGCTTCGACATTCAGTTCAATTGTAATAGTTCATTGCGTTTTCCCATACACTTTTGTATGACCTTGGTACATGGAAAAAACCTCACTCTCTCCCTCCTTTCTTCTTCCATCTTGACCCACATTGACCACAAATAAAAACATAACAGCATCACATGCTTGCATAAGTGTAACACATCCGCGAGGCTGAAATCATTTCTATGCGACAGAGTGCTCGGAGTGAGTCTGATTCGCTCGTTCAGTGATCAGCTGACTTTCTTTGTCCGCCCGGACGCGATTGATGAACTAGCCAATCTGATTTTCTCCTCCGCTGGCCAAACGGAGTTGCGCATGTGCTGTGTAACTAGTTTCGGGTTTGCGGTCACCACACTGGAAGAAATCTTTCTGAAATTGGGTACGTTGATACAAACAGCTTAATCCGACAATCACCGTCTTCAGGTTTTATTCAATTCAGCGCGCATTGTTCTGTATGTATTCCTAATGCACACAAATACACCTTAGTGTGATGAATAACAAACCCCATAGTCACGAGGACCTACTGCTCAGCGATAGAACCCAAGCAACGGGACCTGGAGTGGTGAACCACATTAGGTCCCGATAGGTTAGGCGTGGTATTTAACCGGACGACAGCACAGCTGCCTACCACCAAAGTTGCGTGGCGATGGCGAGGCTCAAACATTCGGACCATCGGATCCAAAGCATGCCGGTGACAGCGACTAAACCACTGCTCTACCACCACCTAATGCTACTGCATACTGGTTTTATGAAGGTCCGCGCAACTGTAATCACCATCACTACCCTAGAGCAGGATAGACTGAAATGGATTTCACTGTCCAGCTAAACATCTTTACAAAGTGAACAGGACTGTTTAATTTGGAAAAGGGTGGACTTGTTTAAGGTGAAGAGAAGAGGAAGAAAGTGAATCAAGACAGAGTCAAGAACAGAGCAGTTTAGCAGTTTAGCACTGCGTACAAAACACCCCTGCACACGGTCTGGTTTGATCTGAAATGGCAGTAATATTCAGCAAAATTGTATTGTTTATTGGGTGGGTCGGTTGTTCGTTAATTCCTGTCTGCCTGAATTGCATCTCGCATGTTGATGACTCAACATCGGCGATGCGATATCGTACAGCATGCATTAAACATATGTAAAAGTTTTAAGAAAGTAACGGAAGACGTAAATAAACTTAAACTTCTGAGGGAGTCGCATTGTATTTTGGCGATGGTTACAAAGTTCAGGCAGTTTGTCTTCTTGTGTGTATTATTGCTGTAAGCACATCTGTGTCAAGTGTATGATTTGAATACTAGTTTACTCGCTGCAAGCTCCCAGCGAATATTTCAGCGATTTGACTACTCTTGCTCTGCGATTGACAGAGAGAGAGAGAGCAAAATGTGTAAAACGTTTAGGACGTAATTAAGTTTTGCCGATTCTGGTGAGCACTCCGTTTTCACAAAATAGGTTTTCACCTAAGTCACATGTTGCCCACCATCCTTGAAGAAGCTCTAAGCAGTTTATTTTCTGTCAATCCCTCAGGCGCTGAACCGTTGGATACGGATGCATACGACGCTTCATTGCTACAAGAACAATTGGAACTGCAATCCCGATCCACCGCAAAAGAACTGCTGAAACGAATCAAACCGGTGTTGAGTATTCGGTCCGGTACGGATAAGTATAGTATGAACGATGAGTGGGATGGCAACGTGGTCCACGCCACTGTACGTACCGAATGGGAAGTGGGATTGCGTCAGTTTGGCCTCNNNNACTCCTCGGACTGCTCATGCTACCCACACCACTCTATATGTTGTTGCGTACCTTTCTGCCGGTCATTGTGATTGCGATCTCGGCCCTGGTCTATCATGTGGAAACTACCAATATGCCCAGTCACATTGAACGCAAACATCCGGAATACATATCCCGGATGAGTATGGCACTAACCAGACAGCATTTATCCATTGCTATCCCAACCGGTAAGTTGGTTCGGAATATGAATGAACTCGGCGTGGCGGGGGGAGGTGCGTTTTGAATGAGCTTGTCGAGCCATGGTGAAAATTTGTCCCCTCCCGTTAGTGGACCGTATACTTTTGAACCCGGTGATCGAGTGAGTCTGAAAGTGGGGTGAATCAATCGGTGATAATGAACCTCTGCCGGTCGAATAAAAACGTGATTCACCTCCAACTGGTTCGGCAACTCGGTCACCATGCTCAGACATGTAGGTTAGGTGCCCACCAGATCAGCCCTTTAATACCGCGAAACAATGACTAGCTTCTGGTAAGATGTGCATTGTGGACTACAGAATTATTATTCTGACAATTCAAGAAACTATCGACACTGTATACCGTTCCAGTGCACCAAAAGCACTGAGGTCGATACACGTCCATTTATCGCACAAAGTGACGCGATTTTCAACATTATAATAAAAAGGTCTCTATTGAAAGAGTTTTGAGCACTACGCTCCTCTTTAACCGCTTGGATCCAATATCTCATCCGGAGTTCTTTGTATTGTTCGATTTTACGCATTTAATCTTTCTGGATTTGTAGGGCCAACGCAGTAGCCTCCATTTATTTACCTCTGAAACTTTATAGAGATTGCCTAATTGCTTTCTTTTTTGTTTTGTCACATTGCAACACAAGATGCCTTGATCGGTTACATTGTTTGGGTATAATGGGCATCGGTCACTGGCTGGAATAACTTCTATAACTTAATAATATCATTAATTTGGTAGACATATAACAGATGGCTGATTTGAAACATGTCGTCGCAATTGTTGGCAGCACTCCGGGTAATCAATGGTGCAATCCATAGTTATTCTCTGAGACACAGCAACTTGCCCTCAGTGGTCTGGTTAATTTTCGATCGTTGAAGGGAACCGTCAATCGCACTATTTTGCATACTGCTCAAAAATGTGAATAACACCTAGCAACAGCGGTTTTCGAATTATGCTGGTTAGGCCGCATTCTTACGACCGAATAAACACTGCTGAGCTTAAGCATGGTCACTATTTAAATAAAATGTTCAACCTCCATAGGTCGCTGTTATGGTCCGTGGAGGAGTGCAGTAAATTGACCGATGGCTCAATGAATAATACAAGACCGAGGTGTGTGCCTGGTTTATCCGTCTTCAACCCCTTTTCAAACCCGCACCTTTTCAATACAAATGGACTATGCTAACAGAGAACCTTGGGGGACGGCACTGAGGAAAACTGGAAGAATTCCATTCCTCGTGAATGTGTATCAGAGTTGCTCTTGGCACCGCAAGACGTGGTCTACCGTTGACTGATACATATGTCGTGCATGCTCGGATTAATTGATCGGCAGATGCAGCTTGCTAGCNCCATGCGGTGAGTATCGATCTTCTCTAGCTAATCCGAAGTTAGAATTGGACTGTCTACGCTCATTGATTCGTTGATTGTTTGATTGTCTGTTTGACAGCATTCGGATGTCGTGTGACGCCTGAGCATTTGTTGGGCTACTTGATTGTCCCTAGCGGTGGCGAGCTGCTCGCTCACCAGCCTACGGAC